TTATTTATTTATTTATTTATTTATTTTTAAATTTATGTGCATGAGTGTATTGCCTGCATGTATTTAAGTGCATCTGTGTCATGCAGTGCCTGCAGAGGTCAGAAGAGGGCATTGGATCCCCTGGAACTGGAGTTATGGACAGTTGTTAGCTGCCATGTGGGTGCTGGGAATTGAATCCTGGTCCTCTGCAAGAGCAGTCAGTGCTCTTAATGATGGAGCCATCTCTCCAGCCCGCTTGATCCTTTTGTAGTGTGGGTTTTAATGACAAGGAAAGGAAAGCATCGCCTCTCTCCCCAGCTAACCCTAAAATGGGGGATTTGGGGAACGAGGCAACCTGTTTCCTGCTCTGGATACCTGTGCTCTTAGCTTACTGGATTCACAGTGACAGAGCCCATCCCAGAACCTCTAGTGAAATGCAGTCGTATGGAGAATTCTTTCATAACCATTTTGGGGTAGGATACCTAACAGTGAACTTGGAAACAGAGTCAAGTTTATCTCCCATACCTTCTTGGTCCTGTTCCCACAGTTTATTACAAGTCAGTTGTTTAGCTTGTCTGTGCCCCAGCCTCTTTTTGCAAGCTGGAAGGTGAGCTGGGGCCCTTCCTGTAGCCAGAATGAGACTGCAGTGAACGTCTAAGGGTTAGAAGAGCAGGGCTTGTGTCAGGGCTCCCCACATGCCACCATACTGGGATGTCCAAGTAGGGAAAGATGCTCATTCTCTTCGAAGGCAATATTTATATCATTTCCTGACTTTAGAGCTACTTGGCAATCACAAAGATGTTTTCAAAATTGAAATCGGGGCCATGATGGAACTGTTAACCATCTTAGTATCTTAGTGTTGGCTTTAGTGTTTTGTTTTGTTTTTTTCTTTTTCCCCTTAGGAAAGGTCTCATTATTTAGCCCTGACTGGACCAGAACTTACCGTGTAGACCAGGTTGGCCTCACAGAGATCCATCTGCCTCTGTAGTAGTGCTGGGATTAAAGGCCTATGCCACCCTGCCTGGCTTTTAGCACCCATTTCATTTTCATAATTGTTTTAGTTACAAAGAACTGACGCTGTGAACGATAACACATTTGGTTTCTATTTTTTTTTTCAGTTTGTAATCTTGACGCTCTTTTAAAGTTTATATGTGAATCCTTCAGTGGGGAAATCTTTGTTTAAAGTTGAGTCACATAAGATACCTCGGGGCCGGAGAGATGGCTCAGCAGTTAAGAGCACTGACTGCTTTTATAGAGGATCCGGGTTCAATTCCCAGCACCCACATGGCGGCTATGAACCGTCCTTAACTCCAGTTCCAGGGGAATCCAAAGCCCTCTTCTGACCTCCGCAGCATTGCACAACACGGGTGCACTCACATACATGCAGGCAATACACTCATACACATAAAACAAAAGTAATAAATAATATTAAACAAAAAGATACCTCACTCCTGCTAGTACAAAACAAAAGCTAGACGAGGCCCCTTAGCCATTAACATGTGTGTCCAAATCACATCTGGGTGATAGCCTCTGTGGTATGTAACTCATTGCCTGGTTAATGCCAACTGCCAAGCACAGTGTTTAGCACAAGCAGAAGTGTCAAGTACTGACCACGAGTTTTCATTGAGTACAGGGATATATGGGGGGTGGGGGGGTATACTTGCTGCTGGGCTCTGTAACTAGGCATGCTTAGTCAAAATATAAATAGTCTAAGTAGTCCATGCTGTGTTTATGTGAATCTCAAATAGGTGTAGCTCAGAGATAGGAATGCTTGTCTAACATGGGAAAGGCCCTGGGTTTTATCCCAGCACAAGTTAAAGGGAAAGGGGCATAGGGATCCTTTTTCCCCATACAGGATCCTGTTGGTAGTGGCATGGCCAGTTGGTAGGTCTATAACACATTTAACATGTTGAATATTACATTAAAATTTGTGTCACCCCAAAGCACTCCAGGCCCCTTCAGCTACCTATGTCCACAAGTGACCTCCCTGGGAGACAATAGCTGGGGCTCAGGGGCCGCCAAGGCCACCTGTTTCATCCTGTCCCAGATAGAGACCTGACTCTGCACTCCTTTGCCCACAAATGCAATTTGACCAAGGAGTCCAGTGCTCTTAAGTTTGCAGGCTGAGGAATTTCTGTGTTCCTCTGGTTCAGGTTCTCTCCCAAGGTGAAGGTCAGCCTGAGGAAGCCAAGTAGAAAGGGCAACAGTGTGCTCTCCCTGTGCCCCAGCGTGGGGAGAGTTTTACAGTTTGCTTTTGAGGTTCCTCGGAAGTGAAAGTACAAGCCTTCGGCCCTTATTGTCAGCTTTCTTTTCCTTCTGGAAACCCCAGCCTTGGCCCCCTGGTGGGGGTGGCATCTAAGGTGATTCTTTCTCTTTATTCTGTCTGAACTGACACCAGTGGCCCAAAGGAATGTGCAGTGGAAGGTGATGGCTGCCTGGCACTGTTGACAGGGCGGGAAACCTTTTTTCTCAAGAGCCCTCTGACAGGCTCCTTGTGTCTATACAGTGCCTGGGACCCTATTAGGGAGTTGAGGTATGTGTAGATTGGCAGCCCCTGGGTCCTGAATCAGGTGGTCTGACTACAGGATTGGTAAATAGGGGCTGGTTTTCAGAACTGCATGGAGACTTGTCTGTAGATCATTCCAGGTTTTCACAGCTGCCAAGGAAAATGTAACTGAGTTTAAGACATTGTGAGAGGCTGAGCCTCAGAGAACCCCTAACCTCTTCCAGCCAGAACCTTGTTCCTCTGCTAGCCTTTTTACATTTGAATTTATATCCTCAACTCTCATATCATTAGGCTGTGCCAGCTTATTCCCCACCTCCCCTTTGGCTTTTTGTATACTGAGGGATGAGGTGGGAGAGGAGTAGTTCTCACATTAGAGCTAAATGTTTGCAAGCAAATTATATAAATAAACAAACTGAAAGATATAAAGGAAAATATCTTATATTCTTGGAGTGAAAGAAGAGATCCTCAAAGTTACAAAGGATAAGTATTCTAGGTTAAACATAAAAATGAAAACCACCAGGAACAAAGGAAAAAGGCATACATAGGCTCAGAGGAAATGCTCATAGCCTAAGAACAACCATTAAAGTAGCTGTGTTAAACTAACATAAACTGAGTTAAAGGACACACATTTATCATAGCCCAGATAACTTAGTGAGCTCCTGCCTCAAAATAAAATACAAAAGATGATTGGTGCTGGAGCTCAGTGATAGAGGACCTGAGTTCAATTCCTGGTATTTGGGGGGGGGTGGGGTAGCTGTGATGTAGAAAAGATAATAAGGGATAAGCGGCTAAAGAGGAAAAACAGGAAAAGGACACCCTGTCCCTACAGCCTGGTGCTTTTGAAATCCCATAAATACATGAATTGCACATCCTAGTGACAGCACTATTCTTATGAATTGTGAGAGGTTATTTGCAGCCTCCATCTGGACTTGTTTACAAGAGTCCTGTGAGCTGCTGTCTGCTGATGAGTTAAAATTCTTATCTGTGGAAGGTGGGGCGGGCTAAGGGCTTTGACAGGGTTCTGCCAGTCTCTTGGTTGTTTAAGTGCAGAAACAATTGGTTGTGTGCAGACAGGACCAAGGCCAAGTGTTTGAGTACAGCTTTGCTAGTTTCTAGCCGTATAATGTGAGTCCCTAAACCTTTCCACCTGTGTTTGCTCATCTGCGTAACATGGTTCAAGGTAGCAGCTTCCTCTTGTAGGGTGGTGGGAGGAGTCAGTAACCCAGGACCATAACCAGTAACCCAGCATATTATCTGCAGTGTCACTGAATATTGATCCTTGCCATGCCTCCTTAAGACATTGCATCATTTGAAAAACCCTTTCCCACCTTTTAGTAACCCTGGGCCTTTGTGGTATGGCTGTGAGTCTGGAAGAGATGAGCACAGGAAGAAAACAAGTATCCACTCTTTCAAGACACATTTGACATGGGAAAAAGTAGAAATCATCATTCCTGAGGAGAGTTGGTTCTGAGAAGTCCTACTTTCCAACTGGGCAATCAGGGCCTCTTTTCTAAAAGAAATGAATTCATATCCTACTACACAATCTCCTAGGGGTTCCAGAGTCAGTTTAAGGAGCTGCTGGTTTCTCAGCCAGCCCTTTCCATAAGTCAGGCTTTGCTGGCTCCAGGGCCATGGTGTACCCAGCCAGCACCATTGTGGACCTGGGGTTGCTGTTGAGGAAACCTTACAGGTGTCCATGTATCTAGAAATGTTTACTTCCCCCTTTTAAGCTCCTAGCCTCATTATGGGTTTTCTCCCTCCTTCAGTTTGTTTACCATATAGCAGAGTATCCAGTGTGTACCCTGAAGGCCATATATGGCCTAGCATAGCTATGACTGCAGCCCAAGAAAAATTATAAACTTATTAAAACATGAGATGTTTCTTATGTGGATGTTTTTTGTTTTGTTTTTTGTCTTTTTGAGACAGGGTCTTCCTGTAGCCCCAGCCTGCCTATAACTCACTATGTGGACCAGGCTGGCCTTGAACTCAAGAAAGATCCATCTGCCTCTGCTGGGATTAAAGGTGTATGCCACCAACACCCAGCTTATGTGTGTATATTTGTGTTATTTTGTTTTTGTAATTCAATTATAGTTCTTTTTAACTTTTTAAAAAATTTTATTATTTTTATTTTATGTGTATGTGTGTATTGCCTGCATGTAGGTAAGTGCACCCATGTCTTGCAATGCCTGCGGAGGTCAGAAGAGACTGTCGGATCCCCTGGGACTGGAGTTACAGACAGTTGTTAGCTGCCATGTGGGTCCTGGGATTTCAACCCAGGTCTTCTGCAAGAACAACCAGTTCTTAATCGCTGAGCCATCTCTCCAGCCCCTCAATTATAGTTCTTAAGCATGAACTTTGTAGATCACAATGTCTAGTTGCTATGTCAAAAGACTGAACACTTCTGAGATTTTGGAGAGTTGGCACTGCAGCAGTAGACTGGGTAGACAGCAGAGGATATGCAGGTGCCAGTGATAGGGCGGGTGGACTTTAACTGCAGGGTGTGCTTTCTCTACAGGAAATAAATGGTATCACTGCAGCACTGGCTGAAGAACTCTTTGAAAAAGGTACAAAGCCATCAGTCCTTGAAATGCTGGGGGCTATTTGCCTATTCCTACTAGGTGGCTGTAGGCCCAGGGTGGCACAGAACTTAATCTGTTAGCGGTCCTAGCCAGGTCCCACCTCTTTGAGGGTGTCAAAACCCTGATCCTAGTCCCCAACCAACCTGCCCACCTACTTGCCCTGCAGGTAAGGATCTGTCGTCTTTCACTTTGTCTCTTATCATTTTTTTTTTTTTTTGGTCTTTTTGAGACAGGGTCTCCCTGTAGCCCCAGCTGTCCTAGACCCCATTATGTAGCCCAGGCTGGCCTTGAACTCACAGAGATCCGCCTGCCTCTGCCTCCCAAGTGCTGGGATTAAAGGCGTGCGCCACCACGCCCGGCTCATTATTTTTTTTTTTAATTATTAGTGTCTACATGCATGTGTGATATGTATATGTGGGCACATGTGCACAGTGCACATGTGGAGGTCACAGGACAACTTGTGTGGTCAGTTTTCTCCTTCCACCTTTGTGTTTTGTTTTGTTGAGACAGGGTCTCCCTGTAGCCCTAGCTGGCCTAGAACTCACTATGTAGACCAGGCTGGCCTTGATCTCACAGAGATCTGCCTGCTTCTGATTAAAGGCATGGACCGCCATTCCTGGTTCCTTTCTCCTTCCACCTTTATGTGAGTCCCAGGGATCACATTTGGGTAGGTAGGCTTGCGTAGCAAGTACCTTCACCCACTGAGCCCACCCTAAGACTCTTGAGTCCCTATTCTCTGGATTCACCCCAGGTTCACAGTCTGTTCCATAGGCTCCTGGTGGGATGCTGAAAGGTGACTGGCATATTGCCATTTTGCACCTGATTTGTCCTTGCCTGGAAGGGCTCAAGTTGTAAATAGAAGCCAATCTTGGGTCACAGTCCTGGCAGCATAGTGACAGTGGCTAACATGTAGCAAATACCCCCTGCCACCAGTCTCCCATTTAGCATTCTATTGCCTTCCCCCAGGAACCATAGATATGGTTCTTAGGCCTATAATTGACTTCAACATCTACATTTTAGAGTGTGCAGTGTAGGTATGCCACCCAGAGTGCTGCCTCTCAGCTTTATCCTGGCTCAGTGCCTTCTGTACTCAGCCTCACTCTTCAGGGTGGCTCCCCAGTCCCACAGCCCTTCTTCCTCGGTCATCACTGTCCAGTGATGCCCTGTGCCCAGTATGAGTTCAGAGGCTATGCCTGGGTCCTTAAGACCTTGGCTTTGCCCCTGCATGGTGGGTGCATGTTATAGATCCTGCATGTTTGTTGACTGTTGACTTGGTGGGCATATACCCTAGCTGTACAACGGGCTGGGTCTGGGTCTGGACACTTATTCCTTGGGCTTGGCTGTTACAGGAGAACAGCTTCTGGGAGCCGGAGAGGTCTTTGCCATCAGGCCCCTGCAGCTCTATGCTGTCACGGAGCAGCTACAGCAGGGAAAGCCCACGTGTGCCAGTGGTGATGCCAAGACTGACCTCGGGCACATCCTAGACTTCACCTGTCGCCTTAAGTACCTTAAGGTAAAGATACAGCAGCTCAGTTGTGGAGAGTGACTTAGTTGTCTCTCTGGCCTGACAACTCACTACTGGCTGGCAGTGTGTGCAGGAGACCAGCTGTGGGGGCGCTCCATGGATCCCTGGTGTTCTTGGCCTGTGCTTTTGACTGAGCAGCAGGGGGCATCATGGCTCAGTGTCTCAATACTTTCTTCCACCTTTGCCTGCTATGTTGAAGATGGAAGTGGTCAAAGCTTTGCATTTGACCAAATAGGGAGTGGTGGCAACATACCCCTAATTTAAATCCATTTTTGGCCTTAGGTTTCTGGCACAGAAGGACCTTTTGGGACCAGCAACATTCAGGAGCAGCTCCTACCTTTTGATCTCTCAATATTTAAGTCTCTCCATCAGGTGGAGGTAAGGCCTAGGGTTGCTGGCCAGCAGGCAAGCTGAGCACAGGCAGCATCTTCTGCCTGCTGTCTGTGTCTCAGGAATGGTTTTGGTGTCCAGTGGTGAGGCACTGTTGCTTTCATGTTTGGCAATGTATTGGAAAATTCCTTCCAAGTACGTCAAGCCCCCCATAAAAGCAGAGCAAGTGGACCTCTTCTGCCCTCAGCTGGTTTGCAGTTCTCCAACCCTGTTGTGGGCAGCAGGAGGCATTAGATAGGCAGAGCACCAGAGCTCAGCTTCTGGCCTCCAGAAGGGACATGTGTTGTTCAGGTAGAAGTCATGGGAAATCATCCTCAAGATTAGACAGCTAATTCCAAGTTTTGTTTTCCAAGGCAGAGGGCCTTGAGGGCTCTCTAAGGTACACGCACCTAACAAGAAATGCTTCATATTACTTGCTACTGAACTCTGGTTCTCAAAACTAATTTGGTCATCATTTTTTAATAGGGGCCGGGTATAGTGGCACGTGCCTTTAATCCTAGCACTCAGGAGGCAGAGACAAGCAAATCTCTGTAAAACTGAAGCCATCCTAATCAATTTTGTGAGTTCTAGGCCAGCTGGGACTATTGGGAGGAGACCCTGTCTCAAAAACCAAAAATAAAAAGAAAGGGGAGTCAGTATTGAACAATGAAAGTTGTTTTAAAGCATATATTGCCCAAGATGGGCCTTAGTGTTCTGCCCTGTGCCCAGTGTCAGTGTATTCTCCTTGATCAGATCTCATCAACTGCTCTGTGAAGTGTGGGTGCTTTTGTCTCAGTTTACAGTTGAGGAAACCGAGGCTTAGAAAGATGAGGAAGTTTGGCTAGGATCATTGAATTTGGCTGAGTCTGACTCTAGAGCCCTGCTCCCATTGGCCTCCATCGAATCTTGGGGGCCACTCCCTTTGAGGGAAACCAGCTGAGTAAGCCTGGGAAATGAGAGGAAAGCCTGATGTGGCCTGACTCTGCAGCTGGGGCACGTAGCACTTGGGACCCATGCCCATCTCCTTGCAACAGGACAGCAGAGGGCAGTAGGACAGGCTGGGCAAGCTGGAGAGCCACTGCACTCTCTGCAGTGTGGAGGCAGCTTCCGCTTGGTTCTCTAGCACTACTTTCCATGTCCAATACTTTCTTTCTACCTGGCAAGCTCAAGTGGCCCTTAACCAAGAAAGTAGATTGTAGTTCATTTTGATCCTGAGAGTCCCAGATGCCTTTTGTACTAGTTAATTAAAATGTTTAATCAGGCTGGGCATGGTGGCGCATGCCTTTAATCCCAGCACTCGGGAGGCAGAGGCAGGTGGATCTCTGTGAGTTCAAGGCCAGCCTGGTCTCCATAGTGAGTTCCAGGACAGCTGGGGCTACAGGGAGACCCTGTCTCAAAAAGACCAAAAACAATGTTTAATCAACATTGCGTAACCCTGGGGCCAAGATGCCATCTCTGAGACACAGCTCTTCTTTGTTTCAGATAAGTCACTGTGATGCTAAGCACATCCGAGGGCTGGTCACCTCGAAGCCAACCTTAGCCACAATGAGTGTCCGCTTCTCAGCAACCTCAATGCAGGTGAATCTTGTCTGTGTATATTTCCTGCCTGGGACATGGCCTGTGGGGCACAGCCCTTATTAATGAGATTGATAGAGCTTCATCTAAGCCTAGCAAGCCCTGGCTCAGCACTCATTTTTATCTCCTCCAAGAAGAAAGTGAGACGTAGAAGGACGGAGCCTTGCTTAGACAGAGGAGCATCTCAATTGAGATAGGAAGTTTCTTTTACCATTTTATAAATTTCACTTTAGTGATGTGAAAATGCTTTCCTGAGTATAGAAAAGGTATATAGTGGCTAATATGTCCTACTGCATCTGATCAGTATTTCGGTTTGTTGAAAATTCTTTCTCCTGAGACTACTGACTAAAAGGAGGAAGCTATGGAGAGTGCAAAGCATGGGGTCACCTTGTCCCTCCTGAAGGCACTTGGTGCCTGGCTGATGGAGCCTAGGGTGATTCCTTACAAGAAGAGAGGTCTTATAGGCATCAAAAGTCAAACCAAGACCTGCCCACTTCGGTGATTGGTGCTGTAGTGCTACTCTGGTCTCAGTGACAAGTCTGTCTTTGTGAAGAAATGGTTAAGGAGCTTGCTGTCCACCGTGGGGACCACTCTGAAAGCATGGTTGCCTGCTAACACCATGAATTGAGACCTTCAGCCTTTGAGAGTTAAGCCAGAAAAGGCATCACTATATAGCAGAGGCCCAACGGGGCTTGACTAGGATTTGTTCCTGAGCATATTTTAAGGACCAGAGCATATTCTAAGTTGCCGTTATGTTGCTAAGCCTTTCAGTTATTTCACAATCATGTAAAGACACATAAACCAAAGCCTGTTTTAATGCAAGGTCACTTCCACATGCTAAATATGTTCCAGCCCTTCCTTAAATTTTGCAGCGTTAGTGTTCCAGTCAGTGTTGCGTGAGGGCCCAGATGTGGTGCTCAGCAGATGTTCTTCTGCAGGAAGTCCTTGTTCCTGAAGCCTCAGAATTTGATGACTGGGAACCTGAAGGCACTGCCCTCCAACATCCTGTGACTGCCATCATCCCCACATGGCAAGCATTGACCACTCTTGACCTGAGCCACAACAGCATCTCTGAGGTCGACGAGTCTGTGGTATGTGTGTAACAGCCTCCCAGAGCTCTCAGTCATCTTTGGCCTGACCAGACCCAACAGATAGCTGTTAAAGTTTGACTTTCTCTGAAGAACCATTAAAAAACCCTGTATTCCATTGCATGTGATTTTTTTTTTTAATAGTGTTTGTGTGTGTGTACATGCCTGTGAATGCTGTACTGGAGTTACAGGCTGCTGTGAGCTGCCCGACATGGGTGCTAGGAATTTAACTCAGGTCCTCTGGAAGAGCAGTATGCACTCTTATCTGCTGAGCCATCTCTCCAGCCCCTGAATGTAATTTTTAAGCTAAATTTAAAAATTAGACTATTTGAAAATGGTGAGTCAAAGCTTAGAACCAAATGAAGCCTATGAATTATGGACACATTTGATATAATGAAGCCATGTTGCATGATAATATTTACTCCTAAGTAAAAGAGCAGAAAACTCATCATTCCCTAGAGTATATGTGTGCCCTTGTAAAAGTGAAATTCCAGTGGCTTTAGGGTAACATGAATATGATTCTCTGTCTGCTTAGTTGGGTGTGCAGGGTTAGAACACACCAGGTCCCTTATCTATCTGGGACTTAATCATACTTAAGCCAAGTATTGTATATATTCCTTTGGATGTGCTACTGGGTGGACAGTGGGAAGTGTTATATCAGTGACTTTGCAAGGACAGCCAGCTGGAAATGTGTGGTCAGGACCAGGCACAAGGATGGTATAGATCCAGTCTTCTTGAGTTAACATTGGGCATTCTTTTCTTTCACAAGAAACTGATTCCAAAGATTGAGTTCCTGGACCTGAGTCACAATGGAGTACTAGTTGTGGACAACCTACAGGTAATTGTGCCTATGGGCTCTTCAGAGACAGACTGCTATCCTGATGGGGTCCAGAGACTGAGGAAGCTTTGTACCCTACAGGTAGTAAGTATAGGAACTGCTGCCTGCCTTTTAGGTTCTGGTGACATATTAGGTGTTCTGGTTCCAAAGTGTTAGAAAAGCTGAGTGCATGCGAATGGAGTGATGATGAATGCAAGCTGATGTTCAGTGCTCACCCAACCTGTTGCTATGTTGTGCCATGTATATGTATAAGAGAGAAGAAGGGCCGGGCATGGTGGCACACACCTTTAATCCCAGCACTTGGGAGGCAGAGGCAGGTGGATTTCTATGAGTTCGAGGCCAGCCTTGTCTACATAGTGAGTTCCAGGACAGCTGGGGCTACAGGGAGACCCTGTCTCAAAAAGACCAGGCGGGGCGGGGAGGCTTCCCTTCCCAATAGTCATTGGAAAGCCTGGCAAAGCTGCCTTACAGATGTGGTCCCTCAGGCTGGAAGGGCACAGCAAGCTTCTCTGGAAGTTTGACTTGTGCCACTACCCTGTTCTCTCTGCCGTTGCAGCACCTGTACAACCTCGTGCACCTTGACCTGTCGTACAACAGACTTTCCTCCCTGGAAGGCGTGCACACCAAACTGGGCAATGTGAAGACCCTGAACTTGGCTGGCAACCTCCTGGAGAGTTTGAGTGGTCTGCAGAAGCTCTACTCCCTGGTCAACCTGGACCTCAGCAACAACAGAATTGAGCAGGTGACCACAGCCATGAGGGCCACAGAGCTCTGAAATTGCCAAACCTTGGTGTTTGTCAATTTAAAGAAAACACAAGGATTTCTTTTGCTTAAAAGCAGCCATCAAGCATGTGGTCATATTGCTGAGGGGTGTTGGGAGAAGGGGCCAAAGGGAATGAATGGCACTGATGTCTTACAGATGGAGGAGGTCAAGAGCATAGGCAGCCTGCCATGTCTGGAGCATGTGGCCCTACTAAACAACCCTCTGAGCATCATCCCTGATTATCGGACCAAGGTGCTTGCCCAGTTTGGAGAGCGAGCCTCTGAGGTAAGTTCCAGAACCTCTAATAGAGCCCAGAGAGACTGGCAGAAGAGAGTCCAGTCTCTCTGCACTGGAAGAGCAACGTGGGGCTGCGTCTGTTCTGCCTCTGCCTGCTTCACAGGAAAGTCTGTCTTTCAGATCTAGGAAGTTTGCTCATTCTACTGAAAGGCTCCCTGCACCTCCCCGCTTCTCCCTTCAGGTGTATGTTCCCCAGAGCTTCATGTCTCTCCAGGGCTTCAGGCCAGGAGGGCTCCTAGAACACACAGGCACAGACTCAGTGTATAGAGGGATTATTTTCAACTTAAAAAAAAATTACATTGGTTATTCTAGGCAAGGGGTAGAAATAAAATGTCAAAAAATTTCAATTTCTTGGGCAGTTTGTAACCATGGTGCTTCTATACAAGCCCTAAGTTTTTTATTGTTTGTTGTTTTAATTTTATGTGTATGAATGTCTTACCTGCATGTATGTAAGTGCACCCATGTAGTACGATGCCTGCAGAGGTCAGAAGAGGTTACCACATCCCCTGGAAATGGAGTTAAGGGCAGTTGTTAGCTGCCACGTGGGTGTTGGGAACTGAATCTGGAGGTCCTCTGCAAGAGCAGCCAGTGCTCTTAACCACTGAACCATTTCTCCATCCCCAAGTGCTAAGGTTTTTGTCTTCCTTACTGGGTCAGTCTAGCCCTGTATCTCTGCTCCCTACTAGCTGTGATGATCCACATACCTCCCACCCTAACCATGCAGGTCTTTTGCCAGGTCTACTCCTTTCCCTCAGGCTCTAGCAGCCCTGTCCCCATTCTCTCACCAATCCTTGGAGCCCATTTTCACCAAATCCAAAACCTGAAGGTCTGCATCCCTCTGTACCCCTTCTCTGCCCCTACTGTCACTTGGTCCTCACTGCCCCCAGGGTAGTCTTTACAAGGTATCCTCTCTTGCTAGGATGATTGCTCATGTCTGCAATTCCAGAACCCAGGTCTGAGGTAAGAGGATTGCCCATGAGTCCAAGGCCAACCTGGGCTACAGAATGAGCCCCTGTCTCAAAACAACAAACAAACAAACCAGGGGCTGGAGAGATGGCTCAGCGGTTAAGAGCAGTGACTGCTCTTGCAGAGGACCCGGGTTTGATTCCCAGCACCCACATGGCAACTACGAACCATCCTTAACTCCAGTTCCAGGGGAATCCAAAGCCCTCTTCTGCCCTCCGTGCATTGCATGACACAGGTGCACTCACATACATGCAGGCAATTCACTCATACACATAAAATAAAAATAATAAAATATTTTTTAAAAAGGGGCTGGAGAGATGGCCCAGTGGTTAAGAGCACTGACTGCTCTTGCAGAGAGGTTCTGGGTTTGATTCCCAGCACCCACATGGCAGCTATAAACCGTCCTTAACTCCAGTTCCTGGGGAATCTGAAGCCCTCTTCTGACCTTTGCGGCATTGCACAACACATACATGCAGGCAATACACTCATACACATAAAATAAAAATAACAAATAAAATTTAAAAAAAAAAAAACAATAAATAAACAGACAAAAAAAGATGTCTTTCCTTTTTGGCTCCAGAACTGGGAAGCTTCCCCAGCCCCATGGTGCCAGCACATGTGTAGGCGTTTCAAACATTCCTTCCATTCCTTCCTTCGTTTGGCCACTCTACCTGCCCCCTGACCTCATGCCAGCCCACAGCTCCCCCTGTATGCCCAGATAGCAGCCCCTGTCCCCTTCTGTTCACAGTATCTCTGCTCTCACAGTCCCCTGTCCAGAACATGCTCCCTTTCTCCTTAACTGTCAGTTCTGTCTTAGTGTTGCCTGTAAGTGGATGTTGAGTGCTTTCACTCCTTTCCTCTAGTCCCCAGGAGGTTGCTGCCTCCTCTTTGTGGAGAGGGACTCCTGGAGATGGAGTAAGCAGTTTGAAACCTCATTGGGACCTAGGGGTGTCCTTATGCCCACTCTTTGGCAGGATCCCACCATCCTCCTCCCAACATGCTTTGCCAGTCCCCATTCTGAGAGCTACCTTCTGGACTCTGTAGATCTGTCTGGATGACACAGCAACCACAGAGAAGGAGCTGGACACCGTGGAAGTGCTGAAAGCCATTCAGAAAGCCAAGGATGTCAAGTCCAAACTGAACAGCACAGAGAAGAAGGTGAGCATTTAGGGGTATGGGGAGCCAGCCAAGAATGGAGTTGTTTGTGGGGAAACTGGACCAGGGGTTGCTCAGGACCTCTGGGTTCTGCCCATACCACATTCCCTGACTGAGAGCTCAGGCAGGTCCCACAGTCTGGATCCTGTTTGCCATTGTGTAGTGATGGTACTTGGCTGTGTGAAGCCATCTTCAGCACCACCTGGTTGGGAGAAAGTTGAGCTCTTCCCTCTGTCCCTGGCCTTGGCAGTTCTGTTCCTCCTGTACTTCTCTCCTGGACTGACTCAGCATTCTTCCTCAGGTTGGTGAAGACTCTCGGCTCCCAGCTGCTCCCTACGTTAGACCCAGTGGCTCCCCTCCCACTGCAGCGACCACCTCAGCCTCCCTGCCTCAGCCCATCCTCTCCAACCAAGGTAATCATGTACAGATCTTGCTCCTAGCCAGCTGCCCAGCTCTGCCTGGGTCCCAGGCTGGGCTGGGCTTGAGAGAGAAATGCTGGCACTTGCTTCCTACGGGGTCAGGCACAGGGAGGGTGGTGCCTTCTGTAGGCTGGCTCCTTGGGTGGCACATGGCAGGGAGGTGCCCAGCCTGACTTAAGCACTGTTTGCTTAGTGAAGACCCCATATTCCCTGACACCTACATCCAGTTCCTTCAGGATAACATAGGGGTATTGGGTAGTGTCCTGAGGCTGCCCTTTGAGCAGGCTCAAGCTGTTGGCTCATATGGACCTAGCCCCCTGCAGGCAGTGTGAGCAGGTCAGCTCCTTGTCAGTAGGAAGCCAGGCCTTGTTATTTTACTGAGTCTGGAACCCTTGATTCCTGTTTGGGGAGCTTACTTTATCATTGTGTTGCCTCTGTGGCTCTAAAGGTGTGACCTAACCCCCAAACACTGCATTTATGGGACCACAATCGGGTGTCTGTCCCCGTGGACCCATGGAAGACCAGTCCTTTTCATCTGCCCACTGTCTTAGCATTTTCAAAGGGCTTTCACTTCTGAACCCAGGCATCCTCGGAGATGAGTGAGTGAAGCAGGTGCCATGAATGTGGCTGCCAGCCCGGCCTGATGGAAGAGGGGCGGGTGTGCTGTCCTGAGTGGAGCTGAGGCTTGGGACATACAGGAAAGACTGCCGCCCGCCCAGGCTCCTGGAGACACAGAACTTGGTGTGAGGTCTTGGGAAGCTAGTTTGGCCCTAGTTTCAAGAACCAGAAACACATTTCTACCCCTTGACCTGGTGACTCATTGGAGGAAACTTCTCTAGAGAGGGATAAGGTACTGGGAAGGAGGAAGTACTCCCCACTGGCAGCACCAAGCTGTGACATGCACACCAAGGAAACCAGGGAAAGGCAGCTGTGATACAACTCTGCAGCAGTCCTGTCAGGGAGAGAAGACTTAACGGCCAGAGGAGACAACACTCGTTTATGTTAAGGCAAAAGCTGGACGCAGAACAGTATGCTGGGATCGTAACTGATGTGCAGAAGAGAAGTCATGAAAGCTGAATGGTGGGGCTAGCTGCCAGCACCTGCCTGTTGGCTTTTGTCAGACTCTTGGCAGTTTTTTAATTGGAATTTTTTATATAAGGGGAAGAGGGTTTGAGTCTTTGAGGAAGTTTCCTTAACCCTTCCATCAGCTTTGAAGCCAAACCCTTCATCTTCACCAGGCCCTCACAGCACTGGTGACACTACATAGAAAGCATGTAACTATAGACTTCTGGGGACAGGGTTACCAAGGTCTGAAGGTCAAGGATACAACCTGTTCTCAGCACTTGTTGAATCAGTGAGTGGATGTGCACGTGAAGAAGCAAGAGGAGAACAAGGTAGCCAAGAGCAGATCCTGGGCGGGCAGGAGTGGGAGTCTCCTCCAGGCTGCAACTGCCAGCAGCCCCCACCCTGTGGTAGTGAAGCCTCTGCAGCAGCCTGGGGCAGGCCTCATCTACCCCTGCCGCACTGCTCTTTCACCCCTGGGTGCTCTGTAGTCTGTCCCTGCTTCCCAATCACTGAACACTGAAGGGATGTTGTCTCAGATTTTCACCTCTTGTAAATAAAACTACAGTGGATGTCTTTGTGTGCACATCTCTTTCCTTTGGGTGAGAAATGACAAAGGTCAAATCCCTGTCTGAGGACTCCTGATGTCCCCTATCCCATCTGCTGAGTGGCCTTTCTGACCACTTGTTTGTACAGGCCATGGTCCAGGAAGGAAGCGGACAGGCTGTCCCTGTCCACATTTCCTCATGCCCAAACAAGGCTGGTGGGGGTGGGGGTGGTTAGTGGCAAGAAAATATTTCACTTCTTTTTCCTCATGAATATGGAGGCACCCACATATATGTGTGTCTAGCTGTGTGTTAGTGGAGCTGGCCCAGGTGGACAGAGATTTCTCTGTGAGGGAGCAGCTTTACTAACCCAACCCCATTGCTTCCAGCCTGATCCTTAAAGGAAAACATACTTGTAAATAAACTGGGCACTCAAGGCCCACCTGAAGGGCCTGTCCAGAAAATGCAAACCCGCCGGAAGGGCGTTGTCCAGAAAAACACCAGGCTTTGGGTCGTCATAGGATCTTTTAGCCAGCTGTCAGACCCATGGAGGACTGTGACTGAGAGGGGCCGATGTGCCATATGCCAGAGGTGATTCTCCAGCTCAGTCTGGGGGCTGAGAGAAGGCTGTGTGTAGAGGTGATTAGAAGCAGGCAGCTGAGTTCACGTTCCATCTTCCTGGCCGTGTGATCTCAAGCAACTTGTAGCCTCTCTGAAGCTGTTTTCTCAACTGTAAAGTGGATACACCCTTCTTCAATTCTGAGATGCACTCATTTCCACTCTGTGACTTCTCTGAAATTAAGCTGCGTCTTTCAGTCAGTGGCGTTCCCTAGTTGCTGTCAGCCAGCTGGTATTCGTGATGGAGTCGTGGGAAAACCTTCCGTGGATACCTGCTATGACCAAGATGGCACCACATCCACACATCTTAGATTTGATGAAATGTGGTAAATAATGAGAGGCACGCATGAGCTAATGCTGGGGAAGCGCTTAGCACTGCTCTTAGCTTGATAGGATTGGTCAGTGGGGCTCCCCCTTCCTGCATCCTGAGTGGGACTTTTAGGACAGTGCCCTGAGGAACATGGAGCCACTTGGGGAGACACTATATGCCTGTGGAAGAACGGGGTAGGATAGTTTGGGGATATTTGGTCTGCCACAGAAGGGGTATCTGAGGTGAGTCTTGAAGGATGTATTGGGTTAAGATATTTCAGTAAGAGGGCCTGGATTTCGGTGGGGAACAGCAGCATAAGCAAAACTCAGACGCTTGGCTTGGTGCATGGCTGTGTGCTTAACCCCTTCTTGCCTCACAGCCTCTGCTGCTTAGCTTCATGGGGGTATCTAGGCTTGGGCTGCCTGCCTACCCTTTGGGCAGAGGACCTAGGCTGTGAGTTGTCCTGTTCTGGTCAGCAGCCAAGCTGAACAAGGGTGTCACGTGGGGGTCTTAGGGATCAATTCATTTAACTGGGCTGTGGTGACTTGTGGCAAAGTTAGGCTGTGGAAGCAGGCCCAAGCTCCTCTAGGCCCACTAACTGCAGTTTAGAGCATGTTAAAAAAGACTTTCTCAAAAAAAAGAAAAAAAAAAAAACTTCCTCTTCAACCAGGCTGCACACTATCTGGAATAAAGCAATGGGTCCAGATGGGCTGTCTTCATAAAACAGCCTCAGTATGATTTAAACACCCAGTGCATTTCCAGTACATGAGTAAGACTGCCACTGCAGTGGGAGTGGCCCATGGCAGCCAGCATAGCAGGACACCCTGTGGGAAGCAGGCATGTGGGTTCAAGCTCTAGCTATGCTCAACAAGTCCTGAGGGAAACAGGCTGCAAGACCTGGTGAAGGGTCCTGTGGTTGGGATTTGGGAACTCTGCAGAGATGTCAGACCAGGCCATAGGGTTACTTGTCCTCTCCTGGAGACAATGTTCCAACTTCTTTTAAGACTTGATAAATAGATTGCCAAACTGCTCTCTCCTGACAGGTGGGCCATCTTGCACCCCAGTGCCCACCTCTGCCCAGTTAGGCCATGGTCTGACCTCTGCCATAGTAAGAGACAAAGTGGTCTCCTGTTTCAACTTGCCTTTGTGCCCTAGAGAGGATAAGCATTGTTTTCATGTGTCACATCTGTTGATCATTCTGTGGAATGTTTCTTTGTGTTTTTTGCATTCTCTTACCAGGTTTCTGAACACTCCTTCCCCTCCCCCATTTTTGTAATCTGTAAGAAGAGCTCTTATAGATTAAAGATACACATCTTTGTTTAATAGTGCAAACAATTTTTCTGTACGCATTTAGAGACTTTGCTTTATCTCAGTCTTTAGAGGCCACCCCCAGAAGTGTGGTCTTCATGAGTCTCTTCCCTGAGTGCATGTCTGCTCAGAAAGGCACTCTCTGACACTAAAGGGTAGCCACAGGCTTGCTCCTTAGTTACCGAGGATTTCAACTTTTCAATTTTATCTGTGAGCCTCTGATGATTTGGGGTCTGGCTAGTGTCTGGCCATGTCATTAGTCCAAGGCTTGTTCTGTTGAACAGCTGCTCTTCCCACCCACCTGCCCACCCCATTTCTGCAGGAATCATGTTCGTACAGGAGGAGGCTCTGGCCAGCAGCCTCTCATCTACCGACAGTGTGCCTCCTGAGGACCGGCCCATTGCCCGAGACTGCTCTGACTCCTTGGAGTCCATCCCCACTGGACAGGTAATGCCCTCACCTGCTTCTGGGGACCATTTCCTCAGCTGTGATGCTGCTGCTTGTTGTGGTCCACAGTCGGATGTGGTCAGGCTAGAGTGTGACATATGTTGCCAGGGCTTCTGGGGTTACACACTGCATGGTATGCAATCTTGCTTTGGGATGTGTCTTTAGTTGATTCTTTTTTTTAATTAATTAATTTACTTTGATTTATTTTTATTTTATGTCTGGGAGTGTATTGCCTGTATGTATGGAAGTGCACCATTGTCATGCAAGGACAGAAGAGGGCATCAGATCCCTGGCACTGGAGTTATGGATGGTTGTTAGCTGCCATGTAGGTGCTGGGATACGAACCCCAGGTCCTCTGGAAGAGCAGCCAGTGCTCTTAACCACTGAACCATCTTTCCAGCCCCAATTTATTTATTTTTATTTTATATGAATGAGTATTATATCTGCATTTGTGTAAGTGCACCCATGTGCAGTGCCACAGAGGGCAGAAGAGGAGGTAGGATTGCCTGGAACTGGAGTTACAGACAGTTGATAGCTACCATACGGGTGCTGAGATTTGAACCTAGGTCTTCTGCAACAGCAGCTAGTGCTCTTAACCACTGAGCCATCTCTCCAGCCCCATTTTTAAAATCTTTTTTAAAATTTATTTATTTTGGGGCCAGGCATGGTGGCGCATGCCTTTAATCCCAGCCAGCACTTGGGAGGCAGAAACAGGCGAATCTCTGTGAGTTTGAGGCCAGCCTAGTAAGTTCTAGGACAGCTGGGGCTACAAGGGAGACACTGTCTCAAAAAAGACAAAAAAAAAAATTATTTTTTATTTTATGGGTATGAGTGTTATGGCTGCATGTTTTAAGTGCACCTATGTCATGCAGTGCCTGTGGGGGTTACAAGAGCGTGTCAGATCCCCTAGAACTGGAGTTCTGAATGGTTATTAGCCACCGTGTGGGTGCTGGGATTCAAACCCTGGTCTTCTGCAAGAGCAGCCAGTGCTCTTAACTGCTGAGCCATCTCTCCAGCCCCTTTAGTTTAAAGTCTTGATAGACCAAGTAGTTAAGGATTTTTATCCTCCACCCCCCCCAAGCCCCTACCCCCTGCTTGGGAACAGGCAGCACTGCCTCATTGGGCTGTGGAGGGATGGGAGAGGCAGACATTCTTTGGGCACACATGAGCTGACTGCATCAGGGTCAGGGAAAGCACCTCTGATGGCCTGGCACCACAGGGTCACTCTGCTCCTTCCCATATGTCACCCTGGTAGTCTGGGACAGTGTGACTATAGCCCGTCCTTTGTAACTTCTGGAGCCCATCTCTGTGTTCCTAGAAGAGAGAGGAGGAAAATTAAAGTATCTGATGCTATGTGTTTGGTGTCTGGGTCTCCCTGCACCATGCTTCTGCACGGCCAGAGTCACAGTCATGTGATGCTATAACAGTTGGCAGAGGCTTTGTCTGTCTCCAGTACTTTCTCCCCAGGATCACAGCCCAAGAAGTTACTGTTCTCTAGTCTGCCAATGTACAGAAATCATGTGAGGGTGTAGGGTCCTTGCCACAGCTACCTTTCATTATGTATACTGCTGGCTGCTTAGAGCCAGAAAGAAGAAATTGGTAGACAAGCTCCTGGATCTGGGCTTGGCACAAAGAGTCCTCCAAATGCCAGACCCCCCTGGTCTAGGGTTGGGAGTGGAGTCTCAGGTCACACAGGTGGGAATACTTGGCAAGATCACCAGATGAGTATGTCCCAGGTCCCAGGGAACACTGGAATGTGGAGATGATGAGGCTTGTTCCCAAGCAGCTGAGGGCCCAGCACCCAGTGAGTGCCAGAGAATTGCTGCAGGAGGTGAGGCTCACTACTTTTCCTTCTCTGTCAGGTGGCATCTGAGGATTTAAGAGATGTACCAGGAGCTGTTGGTGGTATAAGGTAAGGAAGAGTGGGGAAGGCATCAGGGTCAGCCACACACTGAGCAGCCAGTTGGCTTTTGTTCACCTTCGCCTGTTTGACAGTATCTGACACTAGGGTTGGCAGATCCAAGCTAATTTGGGCCACCCTGTGTTCTGCACTGTCAGCGGCTAAGAACAGTTGGGTTGTTTTATTTGGTTGATTAGATATTTTGTGTTGTGTCTTGTCTTGTCCCACTCGGTAGCCCAGACTGGCCTGGATCTTACTTTGTAACTCAGTCTGGCCTCAAACTCTAGGCATTCCTTTCCTGTTCACCTCCTGAGTATTGGGATTACAAGAGTAAGCCATACCACCCTGCTTGATTATTAAATTCTTAGGTGACTGTTTAAACATTACATGGATAATGTTACAGAGTATGTATCATGAAGTAACTAGCACTCTGGCCCTTTACAGAAGCAGATTTCTAATTCTTATTAATAGGAGGGCTGTAGAAGCCAAGAGAAGCTGGAATTCAAATGTGAAAGTCCTAGGACCCATACCAGCCTGAGTTCATGCCCTGGGAGGCCACTGAGTACCCCTAAAAGGAGCTGTTTTTTAGAGCACTAACTGCCTGTAACACCTGGCAGCATCTGAGTGACAGGTCCACATAACACTTGTTGTGGGAGCCAGAGTGGTCTGGGCAGGGCTGTGCTAGATAGCTGTAGCCTGAGTGTATAGCAACCTGGCCCCAAACTCACCTTCCTGATGTCAGCCACTCGAACAGGCTCAGCTATATGGGAGACTGAGGAGACCCATGGTTGGGATCGGGTACTGTAGCAGACTCTGGGGTTGCATGTCCCTCGTGTCCCTGACTCAGCCTCTTCCTACACAGCCCAGAGCACGCAGAGCCAGAGGTGCAGGTGGTGCCTGGGTCTGGCCAAATCATCTTCCTGCCCTTCACCTGCATTGGCTACACAGCTACCAACCAAGACTTCATCCAGCGCCTGAGCACACTGATCCGCCAGGCTATTGAGCGGCAACTGCCTGCCTGGATTGAAGCTGCCAATCAGAGAGAGGCAGCCCAGGGTGAACAGGGTGAGGAAGATGAAGAGGACGATGAGGATGTTGCTGAGAACCGATACTTTGAAATGGGACCCCCAGATGTGGAGGAAGAGGAAGGCAGTGGCCAGGGTGAGGTAGAGGAAGATGATGATGAGGAAGATGAGGAGGCTGAGGAAGAACGCCTGGCTCTAGAGTGGGCCTTGGGCGCAGATGAGGACTTTCTACTAGAGCACATCCGCATCCTCAAGGTGCTGTGGTGCTTCCTAATCCATGTGCAGGGCAGCATCCGCCAGTTTGCCGCCTGCCTTGTCCTCACTGACTTTGGCATCGCCGTCTTTGAGATTCCACACCAGGAGTCTCGAGGCAGCAGCCAGCACATCCTCTCAGCCCTGCGCTTTGTTTTCTGCTTCCCCCATGGTGACCTCACTGAGTTCGGCTTCCTCATGCCAGAGCTGTGTCTAGTGCTCAAGGTGCGTCACAGTGAGAACACACTCTTCATCATCTCTGATGCTGCCAACCTGCATGAGTTCCACGCTGACCTGCGCTCATGTTTTGCACCACAGCACATGGCCATGCTGTGCAGCCCTATCCTCTATGGCAGCCATACCAGCCTGCAGGAATTCCTGCGCCAGCTGCTCACCTTCTACAAAGTGGCTGGTGGCTGTCAGGAGCGCAGTCAGGGCTGCTTCCCTGTCTACCTGGTCTATAGTGACAAGCGCATGGTCCAAACAGCTGCCGGGGACTACTCTGGCAACATCGAATGGGCCAGCTGCACACTCTGCTCTGCTGTTCGGCGCTCCTGCTGCGCACCCTCTGAGGCCGTCAAATCTGCTGCCATCCCCTACTGGCTGCTGCTTACCCCCCAGCACCTCAATGTCATCAAGGCCGACTTCAATCCCATGCCCAACCGAGGCACCCACAACTGCCGAAATCGCAACAGCTTCAAGCTCAGCCGTGTCCCACTCTCCACTGTGCTGCTAGATCCCACACGCAGCTGCACCCAGCCCCGGGGCGCGTTCGCTGATGGCCACGTGCTTGAGCTGCTTGTTGGCTATCGCTTTGTCACTGCCATCTTCGTGCTGCCCCACGAGAAGTTCCACTTCCTGCGCATCTACAATCAGCTACGGGCCTCCCTGCAGGACCTAAAGACTGTAGTTATTGCCAAGACTCCTGCAGCTGGACCAAGATCCCAAAACCCCCTTGTGGAAGGCCACCCTGCCAAGGGCATGGCCAGGTGAGACCAATACAGGCTCTTAGGGCCTGGGGCATGGGATTGGCATAGACGTGATGGGCATTTGTACTTTGTGGGGAGCCTCCCTGTCTTCTCCCCTCGCCTTTGGCTTCTCATCATCCCTCACCACCCTCGGCAGTGCCTTTGGCTCCCTGGCTTGGTGCTTGTTGCTCTGGATTTCCAGGGCCTTAAAAGCAGCCCAGACAAGCTGTTCCACGCAAGACAGGTAGAGAGAATCAGCCCTATTTTTCCACTTCAGTGGAGCGTTATCACATTAGCTCTGGCTTTACCACTCTCCTCTTATATATCCAAGCATAACCTCTGGGTTATCACCTACCTCCTTCACCAGGAGTATCGTCCAGCATCTGGCTCTGTCATCTAGGGACTTCTTCAAGTCCCACCCATTTCTGAAACCAGCTCCTAAGCTAATTCTCAGGAAGGATTGAGGTGTGTGTAACTGGGAGTCCCTCCCAAAGAATTTTCTGTGCTAAAAGCAGAAGATCAGCATGTCTAAGCTGGTAGGTCATCTTTCCTTAGGCCCCTTCCTTCTGGAGAGACTGAGGCACTGAGGAGGAAGGAGTTCGTACCTGTATCCTGTTCTCACTCTTCCCCAACCCTTTCCCCTGGGCCTGTCCCATAGAGCCCAACTTCCCCTGAACTCCATTATAAGCGCCCCTGCCTGCTGGTGCTGGCGTTCCTCTCCCAGGAAAGAAAGCCCTGCATTTATGTTATCTGATTGCTCATATTCTTCATCCTGGCAGACAGCAGAGACCCTGTCCTCAACCTCTGGCTCTCCTAGGCATCTCCTGAGTCCACCCTCATACCCTCAGTTATCCCCCAGCTGACAAACCAAAGGGCTTTCCACTCCTGCAGGCTGTATCCAGTGTTTCTTTTATGCCTATGCGAGAGGTGGCCCTGTGTGACTTATCTCCTTATCTTCCCTGTCACCCTCAAGCCTAGCTGGTCCCTGGGATGGCTGAGGAAACTAGGGCCCCTGAAGATGCATCTCTGCCCCTGTGACAGCAGGAGAGCAATCCAGAGGCTTCATGGGGTATTTGGCCAAATGCAGGGTCACAGCCCCAGGGGTTGCAGCAACTAGACTGGGTCTGATGGAGAGGACAACATCCAAAAGACCCACCCCTTTAGTGGATGTGGCCCCGTGGGCTGACTGCTAGCACCCCAGCTTCTATGAGCTTTAAGGTTCTGAGCATTAGTTGGTCTCATGATTGTGATAGAGATGCAGAGCCCAGCATGGTCATGTGCAGTGATGGTTTGGTAGGGTACGTGCCTGGGCCACCGAAAGATACCCCCAAAAATTGAGGGGCACTTTGAGTTTTGATTCTTACCCACCCACCCCCACCCCACCCCCGGTTCCAATGGCCTTCCTGGGGTCTCTGCAATACTCTCAAAATAAGCTTTCAGTCCATGAGCCAAAGTCTTTGTTCTATGTGTGTGGCTGGCTCAGTCCTGATGGTGGCCTGCTTTACCCCCATGTGCCCATCTCCTGCTTAAGAGAAAGGGCCTTTCCCTCCATTTGGTCTTCCCATGGTATTGAAATAAATCACCCAGTGACCCGGGGTGGCATGTGGTATACAGTTGGCCTTCACAGCCTGAGATTGTGCATATCTCCATGGGGTCCACATGTTCATATAGCATTTCTTGGGTCATTGGGAGATGCAGTGATGGGCAGCAGCCCCAGGAGGCCCCAGCAGAAGCTCCTGCTCCAGTTCCAGCCCCAGTGGAGGCCCCAGCTCCAGTTCTAGCCCCAGTGGAAGCCCCAGCTCCAGGAGAGACTCCAGCTCCAGTTCCAGCTCCAGCAGAGGCTCCAGCTCCAACAGAGGCCCCGGCTCCAGCTCCAGTGGAAGCCCAAGCAGAGGCCCTGACCCTGGCTCCAGGGGAAGCTTCAATAGAAGCCCCAGCTGAGGCCCCTACCCAGTACCCAAGCGAGCACCTGATCCAATCCACCTCCGAAGAAAACCAGATACCCTCTCACTTGCCAGTCTGCCCATCACTCCGGCACATTGCCAGCCTTCAGGGAAGCGCCATCATTGAGCTCTTCCACAGCAGCATTGCTGAGGTAGTGGCCCAGGTGCTGGTCTTGCTGGCTGGTAGCTGTGTGGAGAAGTGTGGGCTCTGCTTTGGCACCAGTCAGTCCTGAGGGTAAGGCAGGGCTTGCATGTAGTCAGCCTCGGGTCCCAGGTTTCTCTGACATCACGTGGTCCTCAGCTTCAACTGCTCACAGGTTTGAGGATCTGGGTCAGAAGGTCCCCCAGCCCCGCCCCTAGCCAGGTGTACCCTCTGTCTCCTGACTGTGCAGTCTCTAATCCAGGCATATCCCCCATGCCTACTTCCCATATCTTCCCTCCTCTCTGACCTGAGTTTGTGGATACATTATTAGATGAGATGAGCTTTTTTACCTCTCTCCGTCAGAAGCCATGAGCATGTCCCTGGAACCTGAGTCACCACAGTAATAGGGCTGACAGGTGGGAGGGATGCCTCACTGGGAGCCTGTGCTCAAGTGTGGTCTAGGAGGGAGGAAGGTATGCCTTGCCCTGCTCCACTCCCCTACAGGCCCCCATATAGCCCCTCTGTATCCAGGTTGAAAACGAGGAGCTGAGGCACCTCCTGTGGTCATCAGTGGTGTTCTACCAGACCCCAGGGCTGGAGGTGACTGCCTGTGTGCTGCTCTCCACCAAGGCTATATACTTTGTGCTGCATGATGGCCTCCGCCGGTACTTCTCCGAGCCACTGCAGGGTAGGTACCCTGGCCAGCAGGACCTTGGAGCAGGAGCTGGGGGCAGGCTGAGGGCCAACTGTGGCCTTGACAGCAGCACCTCAGCTGCTCTAGGCTCAGAGTACCTCATCCGCGGAAGGGAGAACAACAGCACTTCCGTCCTAGAACTGTCATGAAGACCTAGAGCCAGATGTGAATGTGCTATGCCAGGGCCCAGTGAGTGTTTGGAAACTGACTGTGACAAGTAGGGATTGGGCAGTCTCTGCCTCTTGGGCCTTTGCTCCCACTGGCCCAGTGACGCCACTGAACTAGAGGAGGCTGAGACCCCACCTAGTTTCATATGAGGCCTCTCATTTGTGCACGTGGGGGTGGCTCCATGCCTGGCAATGCATTCCTGCTGGACCTGCTGAACCTCAGCCCCTTTTCTCTCCATCACAGATTTCTGGCATCAGAAAAACACTGACTATAACAATAGTCCTTTCCACATCTCTCAGTGCTTTGTGTTCAAGCTCAGTGACCTACAGTCAGTCAACGTTGGCCTTTTTGACCAGTACTTCCGGCTGACGGGTAAGTGACCTGCTGTGCTTTGTCCCGGCTTGGGTGAAGGCCAGTGTCATCAGTGGACTTCCACTTCGCACATGTGGGTGCATAATCATAGAGTTATCTGCTTACAAGCCAGCTACCCGCAAGGGAGGAAGCAGTTTCAGGAACTGCTGAGATTGCAGGATTCCCACCCCAGGGCTTAGAGCAGGAGGCAGGTGTGCAGGGAGTGCCAACCCAGACAGAGGCAGAATGGGACTCGGGTTTAGGGGCAGGATGTTTCTGACTCAGACTTCCTGAAGAGAGAAAGCTAAGCTCTTTCCCTAAATGCATCTAACCCCTTCCAGAAAAATGTCCAGCCCTTCCTGCCTATGATATGGCTACATCCCCGAGCCCCTTGATTGCCCTTTCACATGGACCTTCTGGGCCCTGGCAGAGACCTTGTATGGGTGGGGATTGATGGCCTATGACTATATGACCAGCTCTTTGTTGTACAGGCTCCTCCCCAATGCAGGTGGTCACGTGCTTGACTCGAGACAGCTACCTGACACACTGCTTCCTCCAGCACCTCATGCTTGTGCTCTCCTCACTGGAGCGCACACCCTCACCTGAGCCTGTCGACAAGGACTTCTACTCGGAATTTGGCAACAAGAACACAGGTACCCTGTCCACCCAGGCTGCAGACCAGCAACTGGTGGATGTTGAGGTCCCAGAGCCCTAATGCCTCTGTCTAGCTTTCTCAATTTCCTGCTTGGATGGCCAGGTTTTTATGTGGGCCTCTTCCATGGCAGAGATCCCATCCCAGTAGGCTCTCACCCATCCAGGAGACACAACCCTTAGCCCTGCACTGCTGGTTTGAAGCTCCCTCACCTGCTTCTCATTCAGTCTCAGGGTAGCATGGGGCTGCTGGAGCTTCTGGCCCCACCACAGGTCAGCTCCAGGCTACAGCCCTGGTGATATCTCTATCTGCAGGGAAGATGGAGAACTATGAGCTGATCCACTCGAGCCGTGTCAAGTTCACCTACCCCAGCGAGGAGGAGGTTGGGGACCTGACCTATATCGTGGCACAGAAGATGGCTGATCCCGAGAAGGCTCAGGCCCTCAGCATCTTGCTGTATGTACAGGCCTTCCAGGTGACGACACCACCAGCTGGATGTAGCAGGGGCCAGCTGCACCCCAAGACACTCTTGCTCACCAGTGCTGAGATCTTTCTCCTGGATGAGGACTACATCCACTATCCACTGCCGGAGTTTGCCAAAGAGCCACCACAGAGGGACAGATACCGGCTAGATGATGGCCGCCGTGTCCGAGACTTGGACCGTGTGCTCATGGGCTACCAGCCCTACCCACAGGCCCTCACTCTGGTCTTTGATGACGTGCAGGGCCACGACCTCATGGGCAGTGTCACTCTGGACCACTTTGGGGAGGTGCTGGGTGATCCTGGCAGGGCTGGCCAGGGCCAGGAGGTCCAGTGGCAAGTGTTTGTCCCCAGTGCCGAGAGTCGAGAGAAGCTCATCTCACTATTAGCACGCCAGTGGGAGGCCCTTTGTGGCCGGGAGCTGCCTGTGGAGCTCACTGGCTAGTGCATGCCACAGGCAGCCCTCACCACCTGCCATGTGCAGCTAGCCTGGTGCCCGCTCAGGACAAGAAAGCAGGCTTTTTGTGTTCTTTTAAAGGTGTTCTCTCCCCTCCCTTTGATATCTTAATTTGTCCACACCTCCCACAGAGAATGTGAACTTGTATAATTCCTAATTCTGGAAAGGAGTGCACGAGCCCCACCAGGGTTTCCTTGTGCCATCAGCCTCCTGTGTGTTGCCTGCCCCTTGAGTGGGATGGCCAGGCACACCAGCATCATGTCTGATGTGGTGCTGTTTTTAACGTGACGCTGTGGATCTGATAACTACATGTCCTTTCCTGAAGTGTTTAGTCCAGTCCACCATTGCTGTTGCTATTATTGTTGTGGCCATTTTGCTGCTAATTATGAAGCTGGTAGCAGAATGCACATTGGAAGTTCCTGCTTTGTGGGCTTTTCCAAAATGGAGGCCTCCTCAGGTCCAGACAAGGGGAAGTCTCGTGGGGTGTTACCAGGCCTTGGGGCCGAGAGGGGTGGGGGCAGGGGACCTAGAGCTGCCAGCACCAAGCGTGATACCTGATGCCTATTTTCTCTATTCCAATAAAGCAGAGTTTGACACAGTCTGGGTTTTCTAGGTCTCAAAAGGGCTTCAGCTGAGGGCATGTTCAGCATGGGAGAGACTGGGTACCTTGGAGATAAGAGGGAAGGGAAGAGAATGGAAAGGAGCATTCTGGTCAGGGCCAGGCTGGACTGTGATCAAACCAGGAGCTTGGGTAAAGAAGAGTTAATGCTGCTCTTCAGAGCACCCTGCTATAGCAGACCACGGGCTCTCTGTCATTTCTTCAGGGTGCCCTGCACCCGGGTCCAGTCCCAACTGAAGCTGCAGCCTTTGAAAAGGATGAGGCCTGGAGTCAGGGGTCTCACCAAGATGGCCCATTAATGGCAGTAAGAGAGGTGGACCCAAGTGCTAGACTGAAGTAGGAAGGGCCCCCTGCCTGTCTGCCTGTGCTCATGGCCAGAGAGTTGGGGGTTACCTCAGAGGCCCTTCCGAGGTATGACCTAGGATTTCTTGAACAGCCAGCTCCTGTGCCCAACCCTTCCACCCTTTTCCCACCATTAGGACATAGCCTTGTTTCCCACTCCTCTAGCCCAGCCAGGAGCTCTATCCCTAAGACAGGCAGTGTTATAAGAGAGGTAAGTAGGGGGTTAAAGTAGCTGACTGGGCTCCAAGTTCTGCTCTACTGCTCTTTAATATTCCCTTGGTACCACCAGAGTGGGGATTCTGGCCTGGGGAAGCTGCTGCCCTCAGATGGAGCCAGACATAGTGGTGTGTCCCTTTAATCCCAGCACTGAGAAGGTAGAGGCAGGCAGATTTCTCTGAGACTGAGGCCAGCCTGGTCTATATAGTAGGTTCCAGGGGCTGGAGAGATGACTCAGAGGTTAAGAACACCGGTTGTTCTAGACCCGGGTTCAAATCCAGCACCCACATGGCAGCTAATAACTGTCCATAACTCCAGTCCCAGGGGATCCAACAGCCTCTTCTGACCTCCGCGGGCATTGCACGACACGAGTGCACTTACCTACATGTAGGCAATATGCACATACACATAAAATTTTTAAAAATTTTTTTGAAAAGTAGGTTCCAGGCCACCTGGGGCTATAGGGATATGGTCTAAAAAAACCAAAATAACAGAAAACTAGAAAGGCCGTGGGGGTGGAAGGGGGGGAGGAAGATGATTGCCAAATCGTTCCCCAGAAAAGGGTCTTTCCTCTACAGTGCCAGGCCAGCCCTCCATGCCAACAGGGTGGGGCGTGCCAAGAAGGAACTGGAAAGCACGAGGGAGGCCCCGAGTTCCTCCCTAGCACCACACATACACAAAATATGCACACACAAAAAGGGTGGTTACATGCCTGTAACCCTAGTACTCAAGAGGTTGATACACAGGAATCGAGATCCTAGCCAGCCTGAGGTACATAGCAAGACCCTGTCTGTAAAAATAAAAATGAAAAAAAGGGCGACCTTGGTGGCTTATGCCTATAATCCCAGCACATGGGAAGCCAAGGAAGAAGGAATCCCAAGAATTTGAGGCCAACCTGAGCTATTTTGTGAGTTCTAAGCCAGCTTATGCTACAGAGACTCTGTTTCAAAAAGAAGGGGAGAGAGTAATTGGGATAGTAAGCAGGCCTAGCACACCCAGGCCCAGCCTGGGTCCTAAGGACACCTACTAGGGGAGGCTCTGTCTGAAGCATAGATCTTGCTGAGCTACCTATAGGCTCTGAGCCCACCTTCCTCTATCAAAAACAGGGATAGTAACTTTATGCCCTAACCCTTCCACACATCTGTACCCAGTGTCTGCTCTGTAATTAGCCAGATGTCATCCCTCATAGCTGATGCTCCAGGGGAGTCAGAAAATGAACTGTGAAATAAGTCAGTGCCAAATGGTTGCCAGTACCAGAGGAAAATCCCCTACAAGTAACTGAAGCCCAGTGCTGTGATTGAGCTCCGTGTTGGTCTGGTCTGTTGGACACAGTTCAGTCCAAACCAAGGGTTTTAACACCAGAGACCACCCCTACCTGAGAGACAGAGTAACAGCATGCACTGTTGGAGCTGTTTTAAGAGGAGAAAAGTCTTGGTGGTCATGAGGCAGGATAGAAAAGGGAAAAACTGGGAATGTGGGGAGGAAAGGGCCCCTCACCCTGGAGTCAAATTGAAGTCTCCCACCAGTTAGAATTCCAACACCACATTTGCTTAGTGACTTTCTCCTTACCCAGATGCAAACCTGCAATTTTTTAGGACTCTGATAAAAAAAAAAAAACCCTTTATAGTAATGGACATGTCTTAACGTTGCATAACCCTAGTAGCGCCTGCTCATATTTTATCAGATTATAATTCCATCTAAGGCACCTGGAGAACTATCCTATCAAAATGGGGGGTGGAGAAGTGGCCCAGTGATCAAGAGCTCTTACTGCTCTTACAGAGAACCTGGGTGCAGTTCCCAACACCCACATCAGGCAATTCCCAATCCCCTGTAACTCCAGTTCCAGGGGATTGGACACCTTCTGGCCTCGATGGGCACTGTATACATGTGGTGCACATAAATTCATGCAGGCACACACATACACATAAATAAAAAATGAAAAAAATAAAGCTTTAAAACAGAGCTGAGAGGCTAGAAAGATGGCTCAGCAGTTAAGAGCATTGGCTGCTCTTGCAGAGGACCTGGGTTCGATTCCCAGTACCCACATGATGGCTAACTACCATCCATAACTCCAGTCCAGGAGAGCCAATGCCCTCTTCTGACTTCCTCCAGCATTGCACAATAGAGTGCACTTACATACATGCAAGCAGTACATTCATATACATAAAATGAAAATAAATAAAATATTAAAAATAGAGCCAGTAAGATGGCTCAGCTGGTAAAGACTCTTGATGCCAAATCTGACAACCTGAATTCTATCTCTAGGATCCACATGGTAGAAGAATCAATTCTCATAAGTTGTCCTCTGACCTCCACACATATTTTGTGGCACAAGTATGCCCATACATATACACACATATGTTAAAAAAAAATAGAAGAAAAGAAAGTTTCTGAGCAACCCTTTGAGCTGTAACTTGAGAGCTGCCAAAATAGTACATATGTATAAAAGACTTAATTACAACTCTCCCCTGAGAAGCCCATATTCACACTTGGGTATGTCTTTCTTTCCTTCAGCAGCTCTGTCTCTTAACCCCTATGCTAAACTCTATGTCAAAACTGTCTTTGAATGGACCAACAAAATGGCTCAGCAGGTAAAAGTGTGTACTACATAAGCTTGACAACCTGAGTTCAATCCCTGGAACCCACAGTGGAAGAAGAAAATTGACTTCCAAAAGTTGTCCTCTGACATCCACACAGGTGTCACACAGAGTAATAAATAAAAAATAAAAAAAGAAGAAGAAGAAAGAAAGAAGGCTGGAGAGATGGCTTAGTGGTTAAGAGCACATACTGCTCTTGTAGAGGACTCAGGTTTAGTTCCTAGCACCACATGCAACTAACACCAGTCCATAACTCTAGTTCCAGAGGATCTGATACTCTCTTCCAGCCTCAACAGGCACTGCACACACATGGTACACTTAAATGCATGCAAAACACTCATACACATAAAAAAAATAATTTTCTAAAAATTTAAGTAAGAAAAATAAAACCAGGGAGGATCTCTGTGAATTTCAGGCAAGCCTGGTATAACAGTAAGTTCTAGACCAGCAAGACCTACATAATGAGACCTCTCAAAACAAAGTCTTGGGGCTAGAGAGATGACTCAACATTTAGGAATACTAGAGTCCTCCTTCTAGAGGACTGGAGTTTGGTTCCTAGCACTCACATTGAGCAGCTCACAACCACCTAACTTTAGCTCCAAGAGATCAACACCCTCTTCTGACGATGGAGGGCACCTGCATGTGCAGACACAGACATACACATAAATAAAAATACACAAATCATTTACAAAATCTTAATAAACTTTCTCTTTGAGAATCCCACACATAGGCTCTTGGGTAATGCCTTGATCTTGAACACTTTTGTTTCTACTTTTTAAAAAACATTTTATGAAAAAAAATTTTTTATGGCGGGGTATGGTGGCACATGCCTTTAATCCCAGCACTCGGGAGGCAGAGGCAGGAAGATCTCTGTGAGTTCAAGGCCAACCTGGTCTACACAGTGAGTCCAGGACAAGTGGGGCTGCAGGGAGACCCTGTCTCAAAAAGACCAAAAAAAAATTTTTGTTTTTTATTATTTTTATTTTTCTGTGTATGAATATATTGCCTGCATGTATGTAAGTGCACCTGTGTCGTGCAATGTGCGTGGAGGTCAGGAGAGGATGTTGGATGCCCCTGGAACTGGAGTTACAGACCGACCATTTGTTAGCCTCTATGGAAACCCAGTTCCAGTCTGCAAGAGCAGTCAGTGCTCTTAACTGCTGAGCCATCTCTCCAGCCCCTTTCTTCCTATTTCTAATAAAACTCCTCCTACTCTGCTTCATACTGGCCATGCCTGAAATTCTTTTCTACTTTGAAGAAAGGAATCCTGGATTTGACTGAGTCGAGGACCCTAAAAGATCAAAAGAATTCCTTAGGCTGCTGAGGGTGATAGTGTGGAACTGTGCCTCTGACATCTGAGCAGAGTAGGGGACATCACAGAAGTGAAGGGGTTGTAGACGGTGGCACCTGTGTGACTGAAGAGTGGTGCAGCCAGGAGTCATCCAGGTGAGGGAGAAGAATCTCATAGACTAGCATGGCGCCTAAGCCACCCCCACTTCACCTGGTGTTGAGGCAGGGGCAGAGGCAGCTAGTCCAGAAGTGTCTGGTCCAGGGTCAGTCAGCCCAGCACTGGACCTGCCCTACCTCCCAGCAAACAGAACCTCAGGGCTTCAGAATGAAAAGCTGCCTTGGCAGATGGAGGGAGGGGGGTGTCGTCATTTGCTTTGAATTTCTTTCAGAACCTCTGCTAGACCCTAGGCAGGCAGCTGATGGTGGGCTTGGGGTTCCAGATTGTGATACCAAAAGGGGTGACCTGGGCCAGGAAGCTCTGAATTGGACCCAGGTCGTCCATGGGGTGGTCAGCGGCCAGTGCCTTCCCTTCCGCCTGCAGACTACTGATATGCAGGAGGAAATCCTGGTGGATTCCTGTGGGGGTGAGCTGACAGACGCTTTAAAAGCGACTGCGCGCCTGGTCCCACCTCCTTCTCCATGCTGGTCTTTGGGAGCTCATTCTCCGGCTGCCTGATACGGGAACTTTTGTTTCTTCAAAATTGCTTTGGACAGTGCGCCCGCCAGCCATGGCAGAGCCCCGGGTGCTCTTGCTCTGCCTCTTGGCCTTCTGCCTGGTGGGTTTCAGCTTCATCAGGGGACAGAAGGTGAGTGTGGGCCAGTTTCAGGGGTTACAGTGTCCCGCAGGCGGTAGAAACAGGGAAGGACCATGCATAGCTGGTGCAGGGCTGGGTCGGGAGATATTGGAGCACTTGTCTGACCTGGGTATAGGCCCAGGTGGCCAGGCTGTTGTGCTACCTCCACAGACTGGTCTGTGGCTGATCACTTGGGGTGTAAGGCTTCATCAGCCTATCTTCTAACTGCCTGGCTGACTAGTTATGTGCTATGAGTAGCCTTCTTGGGGTTCCCCAGCCTGTGAGTGAGGTGGGACAGGGCAAGTCCCATCCTCCTAGGTTCCTTGCCCAAACTGAGGCCCTAGACTATGGTGGTCCTCACGTGAGGATTGGAGTTGTGATCACTGTCCTTCCCCATGGGACCCACAAACTGAGAGGCTCACATGGAACATGTGTACATGTGTGCTTTTGGCCAGCACTAGCCTGTCTGAAAGGACTGAGTCGCCCACACCTTGCCAGCGGGTAAACAGCAGCCAACAACAGTTTCAAGTCTCAGAGCTGCAATTCCTGCTCAGGCGTGTAATTCCCCGCACAGGCATGTTGAGTACAGTGGTTGCAGCTTGGCTCCTGGGGCCAGCATGGCCTGTCCCTAGGTCTACCCAGCCCCATAGTAGGGACGTTGCTATTGCCTGGACTTTGGGAAGAGCTTCACACCCTGAGTGCAGGCAGTATGGAGTTTGCAGCCAGGCGAGGAAGCTTCCCCTGTGCAGCCAAGCTCCTCTTCTTGGGACCAACTGCCATGGTTCCTGTGGCACTGATGGGCAGACTGAGGTCCAGAGAGGTCCATGAGGCTATCTGTCTTATACTCCCTGTGGGTCCACAGAAAGATGATCTCAGGGCCAGGACAGGGCTGGGACAGGCAGATGGGAAGCTGAGGTGAGTGTGATGGGGGAAAGCCAAGAGCTCCAGGGCTGTACTGAGCAGGAGTTGCCACCTGTGTTCTGGGTAATGGGATCAGAGGTTAATGAAGAACCTCAGGTTGGAGGTTTTTTCCTTGTCAGACACCTGTAGTTCTCAATACTTGTAGGTCTATAGTTCTGGGCCTAGGGTCTAGCCAGCCTGGGCCAGGAAGAGATTCTGTGGTCTTTGTGGGTAGGAATGTAGCTATGCTGTCCTTCTCTCCCCCTCACAGTCACTCACCCTGTGTGACATGAGATACAAACTGCACCTGCTGGTAAAGGAGGCTCTGAGGAGAAGGGACATCCCTGTCACACAGCCAACAAAGGCAGCAGAACTTGGCACAGGAAAGTTCGGGTAGTAGAGGCACAGAGGATTTAATGTGTCCAGCAGCCTTCTGCCCAGCACCTCCTCAGTGCTGAACACTATCCTGGGGTCTGAAGCCAGGACACAAAGGAAGGGGCGCTGGTGGAGCACCCAGCCCTTTCCCTTCCTGCTCTGACCAGGGGAAGGGGAAGAAGCTCTCTTAGGGGGATTAGGCTCCAAGCTGCCAACCCCAGAAATTCCCCATGAGCCTGGTCCAGCTTGGGGGAGTTTCTGTCACCTTCTCAACACTGGGCTTAATAGCTTGTCTCCTCTGCTTCCCTAGCAGCACTTCTGTGGGAAGCAGACATTGGAGACTCAGCTCTGAGCTAGGAGCTCTGGCTCTGGCCCAGGCCCTGGCTCTGGCATGTCCCAAGGTGCCCCAGGAAGAAGGGAATCTGATTCAGCACTCAGGCTATAGTCCAGCCTCGCCCCACCTAGCTGCATCACCAGCAGAACTGTGAGCTCTGTCTGTTACTGTTGCTGGGCAGACACAGGCCTAAGTGCCCATCTCGGGTGTGGTCTCTAGAGAGGAGTTGATTTGGCAGTTGGCTTATCCATCCATCACCACTTCACACAGTAACAAAGCTCCGGCTTCCTCTTGGCCCTCCCTCACCTTGAGTGACAGCAGGGCTCTCCTACTTGCCCTTAGCTTCACCCAGGCCTGGCCAACCATCCTAGCCCCAGACCAGAATGGCAGCTGTTGCTGCCATCTCTGCCTACCTGGACAGGTGGTTTTGAGAGGAGTCCACTTCCAGCCAAGCCTATGCCCTGAGCCTGCATCTGCTTGGCATCTAAGGTGTCCAATTTCCTAGGCATTCCCTGGCTCAGCAAAGTGGGATGGGGATGATATCATCCAGACCCATAGCCAGCCAGACCGGAGCTTGTGCTGAACAACTTCCCTCTTTGTAGACCACAGAGACAAGAGCAGAAAAGACCAAATCACAGTAGCAGAGAGGCCCTGGGATCTTTGTACTTGCCAGAAGAAAGCGTTTCTCCTTTTCTCCGGCTTTGGGACATCACTCATCTGTAACTCATTTTAGGGAAGAGGGAGTAAGGGGTGCTCTGCATGCACCCCTTTTGGAGCACTACTCAAAATTTTTCTTTTTCTTTCTTTTCTTTTTTTTTTTGGTCTTTTTGAGAGAGTCTCCCTGTAGTGGGACTGGCCTGGAATTCACTATGTAGGCCAGGCTGGCCTTCAACTCAGAGATCTGCCTGCCTCTGCCTCCCAAGTGCTGGGATAAAAGGCATGCGCCTGGCTGTTCAACATTTTTCAAGATGAGAACATTGTCTCTTCTCTAGGCTGTTCTAACACCAAAATGTACCTCCTCTCTGCCCTTCCTTTCACAATCATGAGTCTGCCTTGCAGGGTATAGCCCTGTAGCTCTTTTTGTCCCTAAAGGTGACCCCAGTGTGAGATTTCTGAGAGTTATCAGGCTAGTAAATGGAACTGCAAGGTGGGGGCAGGTAGGATGCCTTCACACCTTCCACTGCCCACCAGGATGCTAATCCCCTTCCTAGTTCATCCCACTGTCCCTCCCCACCCAGGCCACCCTCAAGTGATACCCCCTTTCCGCATTCCCACTCCATTCTCCACACAGCAGTCTTGAGCTCCTTTAAAGCCCCAGTTGAAGCCAAGGGTGATAGACCACAGACAGAATCCTAGTACTCAGGAGATGGAGGCAGGAGGATCAGGAATTCACAGCCAGCCTGGGGCTACATGAGGCATACCATATATACATGTATGAAAGCTTAAAAAAAAAAAACAAACATGAACTGAGTCCTGACCTCCAGCTCTGCCACACCCAGGCTTAGCAGGCTGCTGTCAGCCTGGCCACCAGCCCCTCCAATCCTCTCTGGCTACTCTGCACATTACATAGGGTCATCCATTATTTTCCTCTTCTGGACTTTGCTTCAGCTGCTTCCTCAGTCAGAGTTGCTGGCCAACTCTACTTTCAGGTCCAAGTCACCTGGGTAGTTTTTTGTTTGTTTGTTTGTTTGTTTTAGATCCAAAATGTGTTTATTGGGATGCTTTCTCACTCACCTTGATTCAGGGTTCTCTTAGTACTGCTTCCTCCTGAAGGAACATCCTTCTGTAAGCCGTGCTATTCCACCTGTAGGCTGACAGAGGACAGTGGAGCAGCCAACACACAAGACTACCGTCTATGCGTGGCTAAAGACTGTGGTGATTTTATAGCATCCTGGGCATTTCATATCCATGAAGTAGAATTGGGGCTCTGCACCAGGTGTTTCTTGTTGTTTCCTCTTCTCTTCTGGAGAGGGATGAAGGACATCCCTTTTGAGAGGCATGTTCTTGTAGGGAGGTCGTCACCACCAGAAAACACCTGGGTAGTTGTTTTTTTTTTTTTTAGTTCTTTTATTTTAGCTGGGTGTGGTGGCGCACGCCTGTAGACCCAGTACTTGGGAGGCAGAGGTAGGCAGATCTCTGTGAGTTCAAGGCCAGCCTGGTCTACATAGTGAGTTCCAGGACAGCTGGGGCTACAGGGAGACCCTGCTTCAAAATGACAAAACAAAAAAAAATTCTTTTATTTTATTATTATTTTTTTTACGTGTATGTGTTTTGCCTGCACCCATGCATGCAATACCTATGGAGATCAGAAGAAGGCATAAAATGCCCTGGAACTGGAGTTATGAACAGTTTTTACATGCCGTGTGGGTGCTGGGAACTGAACCCAGGTCCTCTGCAAGAACAACCAGTGCTCTTAA